AACATTATTTCCTTGCTTGCAAAGACAGCTGAGAAGACGGCCCTCTTTCGAAGAAGAGATGACCCTGGGGCCTTTTCTTTTCGCCTCTCCCTTCGTCATCCACGGAATGAGGCCATCACGACCTTTATTTATGTATGTATGCAACCCTTGTTTTGTTTTTTCCAATCGGTGATGCGCCATCAGGAAGTCGTCTGCGCCGCTGGCCCTGCAGGCTCACGGAGAGGCGCCCGGTTCCGCCAATGGAGAGGACCGGATTCCGACAGGGGGCAGTGCTTTGCGCGCAGACCTGCCCCCACCCACCCACCCAGCACACAAAAGCAGCATAATTAACCGCCTCCTGGAAGCGGAGCCTCGGCCGCCAGCTGGGAGCTGGAAGGGAGAAAATCCCCGGGCGCAGGAGGCGATGACAGGGGGCGCAGCCGGAGCCGAGCGAGGCTGACCGCGCGCTAACCCACCTCTGCGCCCACGAGCCCGCGGCGCTGGCCACGTTGCCCCGGGTGACCTTCCTCGGGCGCAGCCTCCACCCCCGCAGCCTCCGCCGAGGCTCTGAAGGCCTGGGAACCGCGAGCCCGCGGCGCTGGCCACGTTGCCCCGGGTGACCTTCCTCGGGCGCAGCCTCCACCCCCGCAGCCTCCGCCGAGGCTCTGAAGGCCTGGAAACCGCGCTCCGAGGGCCAGGGATGCGCGTCCCGGCTGGGCGCGCCTTTGTCTGCCTGTGACGCGGGGAGGCCGCCGCCGCGGAGGTGAGTACACCTTCCTCCCCGCCTCCCTCCCTGCGGAAGAGGGCTTGTCCCGAGGCTTCGCTGCTGCTGCTGCTAACCCCTTTCCGGCAGATGGGCCGGGTGCGGGCACCGAATCACGTCTCCCGGCCTCCTGGATCCTCACACATCCATTCTGCCGAGGCAAACCATCCCTCGCAGCGCACCCCCACCATCACCACCACGGTCCCGGGGAGGCGGAAAACTGCACCATTTTCAGGACGCGCTTAGAGATGAAGCGCATTTCAACCCCCGTCCCTCTCCAGGGCGCTTCCTAGGAGTCCCACCCCTACGTCTTCTATTTAGTACACCCAGAGGCACCGGGACAGCCACCCTGAGCCATCTGGAGCGAGACTTCCAGGATAGATGGGAAGGTCTGCTTGTGGGGTGGGGAGGAAGGGAGATAATCAAAGGTAGCAACCGAACCCGTTGCTGTGGAGTCGATTCTGGCTCATGGCGACCCCACATGCGTCGGAGTCCAGCTGTCCCATTGCGTTTTCTTGGTTGGTGTCTTTACGGAAGCAGATCACCAGGCCTTTCTTCCGCGCCACTGATGGGTGGATTCGAACTGCTAATCTTTCGGTTCGCACCGAACTTGTGCCTCGTGTATTAATAATCCAACGCCACAGCTCACTTCCGAGGTGTAGCGCGGGGGCATTGCCCTGCAGCTGCTGTCAAAGGTGACGCTGGGAGCTGAATTCGTGGGGTACCCACCCACAGCCTGTATTTAGAGGGCGTGTGGGGTCTGCGCAGGAAGCCCCAGCGTCTCTCCCAGCGCAGTGTCTTCCTGGGGGGCTGAGGTCACACCCCGCTCAGGATCGAGACGTGGGGTCTGCAGAGGAAAACAGACGCCAAAGCCACGCCCTTCGGATGGGAACTGAGATTCCAGGGACGTGACCGTCCCCTTGGAAAGAGAGTGCGGGTGCCGGAAGCTTCTGAGGGGTTACTGTCGCCTGTAGTGCATCGGAGAGGGTTGAGGGACCGCGTCTCACCTTCCCCGGGCCGCCGAGAATGAATGACCCGTGAATGAATGACGCTGCTCTGGGCAGGGAGGAGAATGGAGTTCGAAGTCCTCACCTGAAGGGGCGTGGGCTAGTCTGAGCCCTCCCCTCCCTTCACGCTCGGCACCTACTGGTCTCAGCCTGCTCGCTCCCCGCCCCCAGCCTCGCTCAGTGAACCACAGCCCGGGGGCAAATCCACCCGGGCGTGGTTGCAGGTGTTGTTAGGCTTGGACGGCCCGCCCAAACCATTAGCCTGGAAGCAGCCTCGCAGGAGGCAATTGTGTCTGGAGCAGGCCCGGGGGAGCAGAGGGGCGGGAAGGGGGACACTCAGGGGAGCTGTAGGATGAGATGATGTAATGCAGAGACCGAGGCCGGGGAGTGACTGCCCAACCTGTGGCCCCTCCCACGTCCCCGTGCCCACAGTGGCTTCCGCTGCATTTAACACGGGATCCCTCCCCCTCAGCACCGCCGTCACTGCCGGAGCCTTTTCTGGGCTGGGGAGTCCTGTGTGCTGCGGGGTGTTGAGCAGCACCCTCGCCTCCACCCCTCCCTGCTATAGCACCTTCCACCCCTTTCAAGTCGTGATAACCACAGATGTCTCCAGACATCACCCAGTGTCCCTTGGAGGGGGTCAGATCATCCCCAGTTGAGAACCACTGGTCAGAAGGACAGAAAGGGTGATGTTGGCTGAGTCCCTGCTTTGTGGAATGTCATGGCAGAAGGGGCTGTAGAGGTCACTTCCCATCCAGCTCTTTGATCTACAGACAGGGAAAGGGGAGTGGCCTGGGAATCCGCCATGCCCCAGGTAGACTCAAGTTCAGACCTACAGACAGCCTAGCCCTTACGCAGCCCCCCGCCCCCAGTGGCTCCTCAGAGCAACATAAGCCAAGCCAGCATCTGTGCTTGGTAATAACTATGAAGAGCACTCTGGGTGTTACAGATGGCACATGCTCTGAGCTGCTAACTTAAAGACTGGCGGTTCAAACCCAACCAGTTGCTCTGCAGAAGAGCCTGGTGATCTGCTCCCATAAAGATCTGTTGTTGTTGTTACTGTTGTTGTTGTTGCTGTTGCTGTTGTTAGGTGCCATGGAGTCCATTCTGACTCATAGTGACCCCGTGTATGACAATATGCCCCATCCCGCACCAGCCTCACAATCCCTGCTACACCTGAGCCCATCGTTGCAGCCACTGTGTCAGTCCATCTCGTTGAGGGCATTCCCCTTTTCACTGACCCTCCACTTTACCAAGCGTGATGTCCCTGGTCCCTCCTGATCACATGTCCAAAATACATTGCACAAAGTAAATGTCATAGCCAAGAAAACCCTGTGAGCACAGTTCTTCTCTGATACACATGGCGTCGCTATGAGTCAGAATTGACTGGACGGCAACGGGTTAATCATTATGCTCCTGACTCCCCATCCCCCTGCTGCCTTCATCAGCTCTAGGGGCAGCAGGTTCCCAGAGCTTACTTCTTCTTCATAGGGGGCAGATGGGCAGGGCAAGTGGCCAGGAGCAGATGAAAGTGAATTGGGGTTAGCCAGGCCTTCTTTGAAAGTGCCAGTCCCAGCAGAGAAGTCAGAGCCATAAGCTGCTAAACCAGTTGCCACTGAGTCAACTCTGACGCCTGACAGAGTAGCTGTGCTTTCTTGGGTTTGCAAGGCTATCACCTTTCAGAAGCAGATTGCCAGGCCTTTCTTCCGAGGGGCTTCTGGGTGAGTGTGAACTGCCAACCTTTAGGGCAGAGGTCTCTTTAACCATTTCACCACCCAGTGACTCCAAATAGCCATCATTGGTGCTTCCATATGGATTACTTAACTGGATTTGTTGCTTCCCTGAAGTCCAAGTCAGAGGAAGGGAGGGTTAGTCTGGATCCTGTCCTCCCTGGGGAGGGAGGGCACATTTCTGGGCTGCCTAAGAGGGAGCCACACCTGGCTTCAGACTCCAGACCTCCTGGGAACAGCTGTGTGTGCTTCAGCACCCTGCACCTCACTTTCCTCATCTGAGAAATGGGCTCACCTCAAAAGACTGTACAGGGAGCAATTGCACCCGCGCCTGGGGCTTCCAGCCAACACTAGACAGGCACGTGGGGTGAACATTTACATCAGGCAGATACACTCCTTGGAGAGATCAGTCATGGGAGAACAGAAGGGCAGAGTTTGCACCGGGAGACAGCTCTGGGGTGGGAATGCATGGGAGGGAGGGATGCAGGAAGAGGTAACTACAGGGAGGAAGTGGGAAGACAGCTGTTCCATTGTGGGGAACTGCAGTCAAGGTCATGAGACAAAATGTGAATGAACTGCTGCGTGGAAAATGAATTTGCTCTGTAAGCTTTCATCCTGATCACAATAAAAAAATTAACAACAGCAAAGGCTGTGCAGTGAGTCAGTAAGACGGAGTAAAACGTCTTTGTAGATTGATCTCTCTTTTTTTAAAGTGTGTGCTCTTACAGTATATGTTTCTTTTTGCATAATGTATTTGTTTTGTTGTTGTTGAGGATGTATGCAGCAGATTCAGCACTTTCCGTGTATACGGTTCAGACACCAATGACAGTGTTCCAGCTGTGCAGCCGTTCTCACCCTCCTTATCCGAATTGTTCCTCTGCCGTTAACGTAAACTCACTGCCCCCTGAGTTTCCCATCTAACCTTTCGAGTTGTATTGTCAATTTGATCTCATAGAGATGGATCTTAAAAGAGGTCAATGCTCAAGGCAGGCATTCGTTACTAGTTAAGCTAGACTGTTGTGTGGTTTAAGGAACCCTGGTGGTTAGCAGTGCTCAGATGCTAACCAGAAGGTTAGTGGTTCAAATCCACCAGCTGCTTCTCAGGAGAAAGATGAGGCAGTCTGCTTCCCTAAAGATTTATAGCCTTGGAAACCCTACCAAGTAGTTCTACTCTGTCCTATAGGGTTGCTATGAGTCAGAATTGAGTTGATGGCAGTGAGTATTGTTTGGTTTAAAAAATCATTCAGGGGAAATTTTTGGTCTAAGGATTAAGGTTTGAAGATTATCTCAGGGTAATAGTTTTGGGGCCCACCTAGCCTCCATGGCTCCAGAAAGTCAGGATTCCATCAGAGTTTGAAATTCTGTTCCACATGTTCCCCCTTTTGATCAGGATTCTTCTATAGATTCTCTGTGTGGATTGATCTCTTAAGAGCTTCGCATAGGTGGTGAATTGTGATGATTATTGTCCCATCCGTCTGTCTGTGGCTCCCCTTTAGGACTCATCTCTGCTTCAAGTGTCACCTTTTCCTGGCTCCCATGGGGACCACAGAAGCAACACTGCGGATGGAAAACGTGGATGTGAAGGAAGAATGGCAGGACGAGGACTTCCCCAGGTACAGCCTCCCAGGGGTTCCAGCCACCAGGGCGGGGAGTGGATCTGGTGCTTTCTTTGAGGGTAGGGGCCAGGAAATCACCGTTGCCTGGCCAAGGCCGGGGCAGCCAGGTTCTCACCCGTTCCCCATCTCATCTCCCTCAGTCTGTGGGGGCTGTGTTGATGTGTCCCCTCTCAGCCTCACGGAGGGTGAGCACAGGCCAGGCACAAAGCAGAAACTCAGTGAATATTTGCTACATTCTTTAAGACATGCTTCCACCCCCAAAAGCTACAAAAAGTCCCCACACGCATGCTATATTAAGAACTCCCAACATTTAACAATTCTAAACATTGTCTCTGGGCAGTGACGGGTCAGGGTAGAATTTTCTCCTTCACGCAGGAGACCGGGGTTCAATTTCCAACCAGGGCGCCTCACCCCCGGCCCCACCCATCAACACACAGGTCCTGGAGGTTTGTGTGTTGCTAGGATGCTCGTAGGTTTCAGCGGCACGTCCAGACTAACACAGATAAGGAAGAAAGGCCTGGGAATCAACTGCCAAAAAAAATCAGCCCGAGAACCCCATGGGTCGCAGGGGTCTGACCGCACAGATGTGCAGGGTCCAGCAGCATTTCGTTCTGTTTACAGCAGGTCTGATTTCCACAGACCAACATGTCATTGTTAGCTGCGACCCAAGTCGGCCCCCACGCACGATGACACGGAC